GCTCCTTTCACTTCCCACTCCCTCTAGATCCGTCGGCTGGCTCATCCTCTTTTACACTGAAGCGGATCTTCCCGCTTCCGTTTCCTGGATGTGCCTATCTCATCTTTCCGCCGAGAGAGAATTTTGATTAACGTACCTGAGCGCTTCCGCCGTCTCCGTCCGACGGTTCCGAGGAAGACGAGAAGAAATAGAGGAACGAGGAGGAGTAAAGGAAGGAGCATCGTTAGCATATCCGTCTGACTGCCGCAACAACAACCGCAGCTCCCATAGCTGCTGCTCATGCCTCCATATCCACTGCTGGCGGCTCCCTGATAGGGATCCCCGCAATTACCTCCCGCGCAACCTCCACCGTAGTACCTAGCCACGTTGCCTTCCATGACTCTACTGACCACATTCGACGAGGACTTCGGCCTCGCCTTTCTTTATCATCCACTCTGGCCCGGCCTATCTCCCTTTATCGCGATCTTTCCGCCTGGACAAGGCGTGGTCCACCCCGAGAGAACAACAGTTACGTGGTACCCACCGGTAGATCGTCGTTTTCGTCTTCCCGTTCCTCCCAGGAACAACGTCAAGAAGAGGAGAGAACCCAGGAGGGCGATGGTGAGGAAGCCCGAGTCAAAACCGAACGATGATGAACCGTTCTGACAACAACACGAGGAGCCGCAAGGGTTGACTGGGCGGTAAACGACTCCAGATCCAGAATATCCAGCAGCGGGGTACGCACTGGAAGAGGCCGCTGCTGCCGTGAGTCCAACACCGAGCTGAGGAGCCATCTCTCATCAAACTGACGTTTATTCGTGTCATACGAGGCCTTTTCACCTAACGCGTAAGTATGCCTCGCACATCCGCCTCCTGGCTCATCCTACATGATCTACGAGGTGGAAGAGATCTGGAGAAGTCATCTTTTCGTTGAGCGAGCATCCCTTCTTCAACGAGACGATGAGAGAAGGGGGAGGAGGAAGAGCCGAACACACGAACAGGTGCGTGTGTCAACCAACGACTCCTTTGATTACTTTAGGATTCTATTCACCCTGCTGATTTTTGAAATCATATTCAGTCTCGATGTGACGAACTCGAAGGAACAGGCGAAGAAATTTCGTTTTGAGGAAAATTCGTTAGAGGGAATTCACCTCATTTTGCAGAAAAATTAGACTTGTTAACCTTGTGTCAGTATCACTTCAAAATGTCAAATATTGCAACAAAAAAAGCAAGTATTTGTCCATTCATGAAAAATATGCGAAGGCCAAAGTGCGTATCATATTGAAAAAATACAGATTTCAAGGTGTACGAGCTGTTTGTGCCTAAATGGGCGTGCACAACAGTATGCACAGTACCTTTGCCGGGGTAATGAAAATCGGACGAGTCACCGACGCTATCTATCCATCGGAAAGGAAGTCACAAACGGTTGTCTGTTGTCTGACTACCGCGTTCCTTTCTGAACGAAAACTTGAGCCATGGTCTTCAGAGAACTATGTAAAGTTCAGACTTAACATTCGGCCTTTCACCGAAAAGCAGCTGAAAATAGTCGAAGGCTTCAATTGCCCGTCCGAGCAGAATTCTGGACTCGACCTGAAGATCCTGAGAAGATTAAGACCGACTGACGTCGCTCCCTTGCTCCCCACGGCCGTGCCCCATAAGTGAATGTAACGCTCATCTAGTTAAATGAGAGATTTAAAGATAAGAGATATTTCATGAAAATTTGAATAAAACTCATTTTTCATAATCAAATTTGTTTTCGTAATCAAAGGTTTCGTTTCCAGGTCATTAATCACCTACAACAAATCTGATGATAGAAATTTTACGACGATAAATGAAGAAATTGCTTCGAACAGAAAGAGGAAAGAGAACATACCAGACCTAGATCGAGCAGATGTGGTTCAAGTCATTCATGTTATCAGTTGTTACACGGAGTGTTCCAAAACGATACGTAATTTAACGTCACAATGCCAATAGTTTCATAACTATGTCTCCAAGAGGCCCAATTTGTGTCAGAAACACCAAGAACATCTGGAAGATGCGTTACATGACTCCCTGAAGAAATTCGCAGAGGAAAGCAATAATCTCGAGGAATCTTGTGGTGCAGTTATTCGTGACGTAAGACACCAGCTAAAATCTTAGAAAGAAATGTTTATACTCGCGCTGTAAAATTAAAAGCACAACTTTGATGACATTGATTACGTTGCAAGAAAGCATGTAGGTCGTAAATACTAGATGTTCAAACCCTTCGGCATGAATGAGAGTAAGAATCGTGTGGGACCACACCCCCCAAGTTAGGAATCGAGGAACGTGGGAATCATATGCGATGGTATAAAAATATACAAAATACGCTACATATGGAATGCCCCTCAGTAATTCGTAGGCGAAATGGGTTTGCATCCGAATCGAATAGCATACGATGGGATACACTCACTCCGTCCTTTTTTAAATTATCGATGGCGACCGTCTTCTCACATTCATCACTATCTAGTAGTCATTAAGCCTAGGGGCAGGTAGAAATGAAGTCGCGATGACCCCTAATCTCAAACTATTCAGTGTTTCCTCTGCCTCTTTCCTAAAAAGATTCGACAATAGCTTCACTACCATCGACTAAGATGGCAATAAAATAGAAATGAACTGTAAAGATATAACGGTATAGATACAAGAGCATGATGATTTTCCCAGGGAATCTTTCGATTGAGTGCACCCTGTAAACCTCACATCTGAAATCTGTATTAACTCTTATCCGGGCAAGGTATTTTTGTGACACAAACAGGCAAGGCCAAACATTTTTAGAATTCTTTCCTTAAAAGCAAATCCAAACTTTCAAAATTAGTTTTTGAAACTATGAATGACTGTCTATGAAACCCATATCAAATTTGAAGAATTTAAATTAAGAAAAATTGCGGAGTGATGAAATGAAATATACCCGGGGGGAAGGGGTCCAATGGGCCCCCTTTCCCGGATAAGGGTTAAAAAAATAAAAATAAATAATAATAATAATAATAATAAAACAGAATAAAAAGTCGCTGACCTATGAAAATTGGCACCTTTTCGCCTAGGAGTGACCAGCTAGTTACTGTGCTTTCACGTATCCATGCTGGCAAGTTTATGCAGAGTGAATTCGATGAAGAGATACTCTATGGAGTGCCCATTCACCGCTATCCTGGCCCTGATCACGCTCCGGCAAGAGGACAGTCGACCGTCTCCCCTGGTCTGACCCCGGGAGACCTAACGTAGGCATGCCTCCGTCTGACAAATACACAGTCGAGTTCACTTTCCTCGTGTCCACGTTCGCATTCGCATTCGGGTCTGCTCGAGTCACCAAGTCGGTGACTCCAGGGTAGCGGAAGTTCTGGACTCGTCGAGGTGCCCAGACGAGTGAAGTGGTTCTGCTCGGCACCCGTTCGAGTGGTTCGGCTCGGCTCCCAATGAAGTGATCGAACTCGGCGCCGGTTTACTCAAGTGCTCGTGGAAAAGTGGCCCCTCTTCAAGTGAATAGGGTTGCCGATGCTTTCTCATAACACACCCCCCAGCACACTTCATCCTCATTTTCCATTCCTTACCCCCACTCGTTCATCGAAATTTAACGTACAGGCATTTCCTTTGCAACCACGGGAAGACACACTTCATCTCTAAATGCATCGGGATGAAAAGGGATGTTTCACCACAGCAACCCGTGAATCCCTTCACCTCTGACTATTTACATCTTTACATTTATCTTCTGCGATGAACCAAATGTACAAGTCGTATCACGCCTTCAATTATGCGTAGGATTTGGAACATCGGGACGACGAAACTTAGCAGGGACCATTTAAAAAAATAAATAAAAGTTTCACCTGGACTCGAAATTGCATTTTCTTTCTACATCCGAGTATTTGAGCCAGATTCCGTTTGCAGTATCTGGATCTGCCGGAGCTCGATTAGGTGAACTAAGCTCGGCGCTTTGCAGCGCACTAGTGGAAACAACCCACTTGGCAACGTCGACCCCGGATCGTCCTCACAGAGGCTAATCCAAGCATAAAGTTCGTTTTATGCTTTTCATAGGATGTACACCCGATGTAAAAATGACCAACGGGCCACGACAATAAGTGTTGATTCTCGGTTGTCCTGAAAAAACCGAGACCCATCTTCCATCCTCCGCAGATGTCCAAGTTCAAATTTCCAATGGACTTTCATCGCGTTCACAGCTTTTATTTTTTAATAGCATTACGAGCCAGATCTTGTTGAGAAGTGCTCATATAAAGTCATTGGTGTATGAAACAATTACTTCGAGGGTTTCTTTGACGAATAAATCAAAAATGATAATTTATAACAAGTACACGCGATAAATGCAGTAAATATGAGGATGATCTCACCGAGTCTCTTCTTTCTCTTCCTGCCGCCAGGTTGAAGTCCAAAAAGGAGGATGAGGAAAAGTAAAGTTCCGAGGAATCCGACAGTGAGGAATTCCCGATCCTCTCGACTCAACAACCCATCACCTCTTCCATTCCCTTTTTCCTCTTCCAAGGATTTAGGACAAGGACAGGGATGTCTTCTCACGTGATAACGGGGGGAGGGGGAGTGCTTGCGACCTCCCGAGGGAAACGACATGAGAAAACCAGGACTCGAAGGTGAGGGCGACGAATATGAGCGAAACCTGGAAACGGCTGATGGGGGAGCGCGGGGACCTGAAGCGGATGGGAAAAGATACCAGGAATCTGCCGAGACTGGAGGATGATACTCATGGCGATCCGGAAGGGTTGATGTGGGATAGCTGGGACCTTCCAAGGCATCGGGAGGGTACTCATGGGGATCTAAAAGGGATGCTGTGGGATCGCTGAGACCTGTCAAGGGGTGGGGAGGATCTTCCTTTTGTTTCTCCTTTTTTCTCTCCTGTTTCTTCCCTTTTCCCTTAGTCTTCTCTGTCTTCTTCTCGCTATGTCTTGGGAGTTCGGATGACACACCTTCCACATTCATGATTCTCACTCGACTGTGTTCACTCACTCGACTGAGAGGAATGAAACTGAGACCGACTTTCGAGAGTCTCTCTTATCGTCACTCGTAACCCCGTTTTATTATAAGATCATCTCGATGAAAGGGGAATGAAAAGAAAAGGTAGGCACCATGCTATAGTTCCGTCGTGGAATCGTCGACATAAGGTGATGAGATTCCATGGCCAAAAATGACGTTTTCGTTGTTCTCACTCGCCCGTCCACCTCTCACCATCCCTCCTCTCTCTCTTCCTCGACGTTTTTCCTTTTCTTCTTCTTCCACCTGTTCCCTCTCGTCCCTGAGGGAAGATCACGAAACATACTGTACGACGGGAAATCATGGACCAGGCCAAATATGGGTGCACATCATCTCGGTGAGGAAACGGCATTTTTTCAAGGAAAATGCAATTGAACGGATGAGAGACCTGCTATTGTAGATAGGGTTCCTGACCCCGTTGTCCGGAAAAAAAGTGGAATGAGCAGAGAGATATCGTCCGTCTTCACTCAGACTCGATGCCCTCGTCGTCGTGTTTCCACTCCCTCCATCTATGAGATCGTCATTCGCTTGGTGTCCATCGGGAACACGACAGAGGAAAAATAAACATTTAAAAAAGCCTCACCCGTGCCTTCCTTGGAGATGTAATCCACCGTCTGAAGGTCCAAGGCATGATTCTTGTTCCTAAAATCCAGCTGGAAGTCCCCGCTCCCCCCTCCGCCTCCCCCTTCATCCGGGGTTATGCTCATCTGAAGCACCTACAGGTCGGAGAAAGGAGGAGATAGCATCACAGTTCAATCTGAAATCGAAATGCTGACGCCGGGGAGAGAAGCTTTTGAGGAAAATTAGACTTTTCATGCATATCATGACATACATATATATATATATTTTTTTGGGAGCTTTTGTATAAGCGATATGGAAAGGACCGAAAATTAGACTGGAACATGGAAATGGAGTATTCTGGAGATGTGAGGAGAACGGTTATCTGCTTCAGGAGGAGAGAAGAAAATCCGAAGAGACGGAGTCCGCATGCAAAAATGAGTGATATATCACGTTGAGGTTCTCGAAGGCGTTTGCAGCTTCCCTTCTCCTCTTTTGCTCTTTTTCTTTCGAAGAATGCCCGCCCTCAAAGGGGCGACTCAAAAAGAATCACTTTCCGCGCTTGAATCCCACGATACCAAGCGCCAGGCGGGAAAGATGGTGTACTCGATCTCAGTTGGCTCGGTCGTCAGCTGGGATCCAAGCAGAGACCACGAGAGGAAAGGGGGCATCGTATTCTGGTTTCACCGTATTCACATTTTACTGGAAGAAGGGAGTGTCACCTATGCGAGTAGTCAGTCAACTAGAAGCTTAGTCGTGAAGTTCGAACTCGGCGAGGTGAGATGAAGATATCGATATCTTCATTGGGAAATGATTGCGGAAGGAGAAAACGTGAGGAATCTCCTAGCCGAGAGCCAGAGATTGTTGGCGTGCAGGCGAAGAAAGGAAGGCTGGGGGAAGAAGAAGCAGAAGAGGAAGGGGATCCCACGTAGAAGGCGCCAATCAGGAAGGTCAGTTGGTCGAGGGCGTCTAAAATATGACCTATGTCGCCTAAAATAACGACTTTTCTCGGTCGAGTCCCCTGTCTTCATGCAGACCATCTTGACGGAATTGCTAACCTCGGAGCGAGGTGCAATCTCGGTGAAGCCTAGAGCAGCGGTTCTCAATCTGTGGCCCGCAGACATGGTCCAGAAATTATAACATTTGACTTTTTTACAGAATAAAACAAAATATTAATAACCTATAGACCTATGCTTTATAACTAATTGATATTCCTTTTTCTAAATATTACCGTTTCTTAATCCGGCATAAATAACATTTCACCTATCCAATCAATTTTGTTTTATCATGCATCATTTTCTACCCTCACGTATAAAGCCAGGTAATGCATTGATGCAGACTCAGGCTCCTCCGTTCATTCCTTCATTCCCACTTAATTTATTTTTCCCCCATACCCTGCGGCCTTGTTCCTCCACCCTTCCCTCCTACCCCCCCCCCCCCCCCCCC